AGACATAAAAAAGAATGGCACACCAGCTTCCCCCGCAACAGCACGTGCTAATAATGTTTTTCCAGTACCTGGAGGGCCAGTAAGTAAAACACCTTTTGGAAGTCTCCCTCCTAATCCTGTAAACTTTGAAGGGTCTTTTAAGAATTCAACTAATTCCTCCAACTCTTCTTTGGCTTCATCAACACCATGCACGTCAGAAAATTTAACCACCTGTTGTGAAGATGGTTCAAATTCCGACTGTGATCCACCGGTCTTTAATAGTCCTGAATTTTCCATAGCAATACTAAGAAAAGTAATAATACAAAAGGCATATGTGAATGTAATGCCAACCCATCGTAAAGCCCGCCAAAACATATATCCTCGTGCTGAATTAAAAAGAAATGCAAAATATTAGCCCATCAAAACAGAATTAATCATTCTGTAATTTTTGACAAAAAACTCTTACCTCCTTCAATTACAACATAAATAGGATTTTCTTTATTACCAGCATTTGATGTTGTATTTGATGATCCACTTTCTGCTGTAGTCTTTTTTCCTTGGCCTTTAATAATTGTATGTACCAAATCGTTCGTTGAAGTTGCTCTCTTTGAAGCTTAGGATACATATATATTAGGAGGCTTAATGTATAAAACTACTGCAATATATAATATCAAAATTTTTTATATACCACCATCAACGCCAATAACACCAGTTTGTTCTAATTTTTGCATTATTTTTGGTAAGACTTTATCCGCTTGACCCGTTCTAGCCAAAGCAGTGATATACGCTCGAAAACATTCATCATCATGTGCAAAATTCCCACGTTCGAATCGAGTGATAATCGCACTATGGTTATTAGCTTTAAGTAGTTCCTAATAAATAATAAGTTGCAAAAAAATCATGAAGTTTCGTCTTTCCTAGAATTCGTAAACCCAGATTTTTTTCTTTTTTTTTCAATGCTTAACAAAGATAATCACCTACTTTATAATATTCAACTTGTTTGGCCACGTTATTGGGAAATGAATTTGCCTCAGCCTCCAATAATTGCAATCGCCGTTGATTAACAAACCTAATACTGTTGTTATTTGTTCCAAAATACCGACGACTACTTGTAATTACGAGCTGTGAAAATCCTAGTAACGTAAATCAGACTTAATGCGATCATTAAGATACAAATCGAACGCGTCTAATAAAATAAACGCTTAAAATTTGTAATAATTTTGAGGAAAATGACCCAAGGACTTTGATTCAATTTGAATAAACTTTTTTTTTAAAATTATTTCGTAGAGTTTAATGATCTCTATAAAACAAAAACAAAAAAAAAGAAGTTATTTATTCAAATTGGATCTTTGGATGTAACAATTTTAAATTTCGTTAATAAAATCTATATAGTCTAGGAGTCATTTTCCTGACAAAGACCCATTTATCTTACCTCTCCGAAAGAACATTGAAGACTATTGAAGCGGCTACAGCTCTTAACAAAACCGTTTGTCGTGAACGGTGACAATCCAGATATATATAATCTAGTAATTATTACAATGCAGAAACTATAATCTAATAATCTAATAAATTATGAGCGAATCTATTTGTCGCCGGCAGTGACAGTATCTGGCACGTGATTATATATGCCAATGAAAATTGCGCTCGCGATATCGATATGATTTTGTTTTTTAACTAAAAAATCTATTAAATTACAGTAGATTTGAAAAAAAATATCTGATATTAGGTAG